CACGCATGCACGGAGAGAACATACAAACTCCACCCAGAAAGACCCCCAGCCGGGATTTGAACTGGCGAGCTTCAGTTGCTCAGTGAATCAGTGAGTTAGCATTGTTGCCTCACAAAAACATGGGGCTGCGTTTGAAACTTGGCAGGCAACTTTCTGTATGAAGTTTGCATGTGAACTCTGTGCATGGTGTGTTTTTTCTGGGTACTTTATTTTCCTCCCATAGTCCAAAAACATACATGTTGGGTTCAATGGCAACTTTAAATTGTCTCTAAGTGAGAACATTAATGATGTTTCATCTTGTTCTTCTCTAAGTGGTCCTCTAATGGATTGGCAGCCAGTCCAGGGTGCCCCCACCTCTTGTCCACTGGCTGATGGAGACAGGCAGCAGACCCTCATGACCCTGAAAAGTAACAAGCGGGCAAATAAAATTGATGGATCATTGTCCTGAGTCTCCAACAAAACTTTGCATCAGTTGCTGCATTTACCCAGTGCTGTGGAAAGTTGGTAAAAGTTTAACTTGTCAAGTTGGAACAAATGAAGTGATGTGAATGACTTTATTTATTGTGAGTGGGGTTAAATCAGGCCAGAGCTCTGCAGGGCTCAACACAAACCTCTTGTCAACATGAGACACCTAACTTTCCATTTCTTCAATGATAATTCAAAACGTTTTCCAAGCTTTAGGCAATACAAATTTAAATTATTTCTTTCTCAAACTCAATAATAAATTTTGACTCTGCCTCAAGCACTGCAACTTCAAGGTCTCAGCATGATCTATTGAGCTTCCTTATATTCAACATAACCATAAATAAAAGAAAAATGACCTTATTTGCTGACTGTTGTACAGCAATTTATTCATTTATGTTGTGATATGAGCTAATTAGACCAATCTGTGGTTATATCTGAAATGAATAACCCAGCAGTACTCTCCTTCTCCCTCTTTTAGAATTAAAATTTTAGAATTTTAGAGTTCTAGAATTGCACCGCTCAAGGTGGCTGCATGTTGGAGCAGCTCCGTTAACTTTCATTCTGAGATTTTGCTTTTGGAAACTTTATTTCCTGGTTTTCTGGATGTAAATCACATTTTTTGGATGATTGTTTCCTCTGGTATCGGATGCTGTGCAGCTGGAAAGATTTTTACTTAGACTTTTTTTGATTTGGACATTTGTTATGATGCGTAACCATGGCAACAAGGCAGTTTTTTTTTACAACAATAGCTGATTAACATCTCAAAAGCTCAAATAATATCTCAACTACGGTACCAACTCTCAAAGGAGTTGAAAAGGATGTTATGTGGACACATTCTCATCTACCTGCCAGCTGTGCTCGAGTGCCTGACCACAGAAATCCTGGAACTAGCAGGAAACACGGCTCATGACAGCAAAAGGACAGGATCATCCCACAGCACCTACAGTTGACTGTCCGCAGCTATGAGGAGCTCGGCAGACTGCTGGGAGGAGTAGCCATCGCTCTGGGAGGAGTTCTGCCCAGCCTTCGGGCGGTCCTACAACCCGGGGGGAACCGAAAGGCCAGCCGAGTCTGGGTGGACGGATCGGACAACATCTGGAGTCAGTTTCTTAGGATCCACTGTGGATGGACCTTTACAAGAGATCCTTCCTGTCTACAACCATCAGTATCTATAACATCTCTTAATGAAATGAGCATAACGAGTTACAACAACAAATAATTTCCCTTTGGGATTAATAACGTATTTTTGAATTGAAT